GCGGGGCTGGGGCCCCCCACCACTGCCTGCGCAAACGAGAGCCAGTCACCCACCGGGCAGTGGGACGGATAAAATGAGAAATCGGCGCTCACCTCAACCCCACTCCCCCCAGAGGAACCGCGCCGGGAACCCCATGAGGATGCTGATGCTGCCGAGCCAACCGCGGCAACCAGAAGAGCTGCTGAAAGCAAAATAAAACCGTTCCTCGGCAGAAAGGAGCCCACGTACCAAAGGGCACGGCACGGCACACGCGGGGAGGTGTGTTACACCAGCACAGCTGCCGGCAGCGAAAGCCCCATGGCAGGCAGGAGCGTGTCCCCCCGGGTCCCCACCGCCAGCCGGTGTGCGGTGAGACGGTGTCACTGCCCGGTGAGGTGCGGACCCGGCTGCCCCCGCGAGCCATAAACCCTTACTCACTGCCGCTTATCTCCTCCGCGCCCGCACGCTTCTGGGTTTTTATCCCGGGCACTTCCGCGGGCGGACGAGCCCTTTTGGCTCCCTGAGCTTTAGGAGCCCTCGGGGACGTCACTCCTCCCTCAAAAGCTCCAGTGGCCCCAGCAGGGAGCTGGGCACGGAGCCTGGGGTGTCCCGCCGGCCGGATGGGGGGAGCAGGCCCCTCCAGACCACCTTTTGGGGGGGCAAAGCCCCCGGCTGCGCAGCAGGAAGGGCCACAAGGCCACAGCGAGTGGCCCTACAGCAGAGCAAGGTCCTTCCGAGGGGCGCAGCGAGGGGCAGCAGCCCGGGGAGGAATCGTGGAAGCCCCCCCAGCACGCCCCGCGGACGGAGGAGTTTGGTCAAATGCAGTAACAGGCGGCGGCGATGACGGCTGGTCCCGGGTGGGGGGGTGGGGTGCGGGGCTGGACCTTGCCGAGCCCCCGGCACCTTCCAGCACGAGGCCGGCCCGCGGCCCCCAAGTGTGGGGCCCCCCCAGCCACGGCCGTCGGGGGCTCCGCTTTCCGCTGAGGCGGCTCCTGTCCTCCCCGTGCCGGCAGGGAGGGAAGCGGGACCCAACCCTCGTCCCGCTCCGCTTCCCGGCTTCCGGCGCCTCTCGCAGCCGTC